TAATTATTGGTATTATTGGATTCTTTGTCAATTATCATTCATTGGCTTAATAAGCCCATATTTTAAATATTTTAATTTTAAACGATTTTTTTCTCGTTTTTTCCTGAAATTATAGATATAATTTACTTTATGAAATAAAAAATAAATTGAAATGCCAAATAATTCCAGATTTTTTTACCAGTTATAGAACTGAAACTTGAATTTTGATAATAAGCTTTGACATGCTCTGGATTTACGCAAAATTATTAACCAGTACAATTTTTATGATCAATAAACATATTTTCTATTGTTCGGCCTGGACTTTGATGCATCATATTTGCATTCTTTTCTTGCTTATTTTTTTTAAAGCAGTAAAACCTTGAATGCAAGATTTCTGCGTCAAATTACAATGACGCAGTTTAAAAGTTGCCGAATTATCACGCCCCATACTCGTATACTTCTAGTGGACTCAACCAGAAAACTCAATTTAACTGGAAAATGTCAATTTTCAGGTTCAAGTCTTAGCATAGCAGAGTCTAATGGAGTTAATCTCTTTTAAGAAGACTTATAAATAAAACGTTGATACATTAATGATTGCTCCCCCCTCACTCCATTCTCCCTCCTTATCCGCCCCCCCCTCAACAGAATGTCGAAATGTAACATTTTTTTAGAAAGAAAAACGTCGATATGGTTTGGTATAGAATATTATACAACTTTGATAGCATCATAAAACTTTTATAGAATATCATAAAACTTTGATAGAATATCATAAAACATTGATAGAATATCATAAAATATTGATAGAATATCATAAAACTTTGATAGAATATCATAAAACTCAATACTATAAATAATAAAATATAAACCGGCAGTCCTGTTATACATAGATGAATGTTGGTTAATTCTCTTCATTTTCTCATCCGAGCCACCTCTGAAAGCTCATACTGTCGAAAATGAGGAGAATGCGGCTCGGACGAAGAAATGTTGTAGCTTGCCTTCCAGCCCTCAATGGATGAAATGAAAAAATATAGTGAAAAGAATTAAATTGTCATCTTACTCTCGGGACAATCAAACATCCTGGTCAAATTAAGATGTTATTTTATAAATTTCTTAACAATGATTATTTCTTGAAAAATAAACAGTGCTTTTGTCGGAGAAAAGAGGGGATAGGGGGCACCAAATAATCACTGTAGGAAGTTGGTTTTTCCTTTCTTTACTTCATACTCTTTTTGTGGGACTACAAATTTCGAAAATTAAATTGTATCATTTGTATTACGCCTTTTTCTGAATTTTGATTCAAACATCTCTTCTGAGTTTATTCCAATACTGCCATCACATACGTTGATCTTATAATTTTCGCGTGTGTTCCGAAACAGTCGGGCATACTTTGATATGGTTAGTTTCAGGTGTATTCAGATACAGCCCAGACATACTTTGGTCTGGTTAGTTTCACGTGTATTCCGATTCAGCCCGGACATACTTTTTGTTCCGGTTAGTTTAATGTGTATTCAGATCCAGGCCGGACATTCTTTGATCTGGTTAGATTCACGTGTACTCAGATATAGCCAGGACATACTTTGTTAGTTAGTTTAACGTGGATCGTGAAATTCAGGTTTATCTGTTTGAAAATGATCTTGTAAATTTTTATATTACTACCCGCTACATGTAAGTATATAATTCTTAGTCAAGTATTTTGAAGTCCCCAATACCCAACTGTGTGGAAGGGGGGTTTATACCCCTCTATTATAAGCGACTGCATGAACCCTGGAATGCAACACCTATGTATAACCAGTATTTATGCACCCTTTTATTAATGCACCCTTTGAAATTAAATTTTACAACTGCAATAAAATTATAAAGAATCAGTTTTAAAACATGAAGAAAGTAGTCTTATAATACATTTCGAAGGTCACCTTATCTTTTAAATTATGAAATATTATGTTCAGTTTTTACTTTGTTCTTAAACTGATATGATTGTATGATTGTGGTTAAAATACTGCAATAAAGATGTGTGATATTTGTAGTGTCGAGAATGGTGAAATATTTTTTGCGCTTTTGCAAATTAAGAGAAATAGCACAATGCATTTGCAGATTTCAAAGTTGCAGATTTTTCCAGAACACACAACTGTTTAATTTTCTAAACTTTTGCCAGGAGAAATATACCGTCAAGTGAAAAAGATTTTATGTACAGTGGACTGCGTTTATATCAATACACTGAAGACGACTTTTCTAATAAAGATTTTATGTACAGTGGACTGCGTTTGTATCAATACACTGAAGACGACTTTTCGAATAAAGTTTTGGTTTCTATAGCAAGCTTTTTTAAAATTACAAGTTTAAGAGTAAACATAGAGAAGCTGTTAATTGAGGACTTTTCCTCTCCCAATGTTAATGTATGTATTGTATATCCATGCTTGGTAGACATCACAATTTTAAATCGAAAGCAGTCTTCATTGTATTGATATATACGACGACGACTGTAGTATAACCTGTAGTTTAACCTTCAAAAAGATACGTTTTCTAACTTGATTTTAAAACTTGTTCGTTCCAAGATTGCTAATTCAACGCTTGTTTCAAGAGAAAAACGACGATATCGTTCGAAAATATCAAAGACGATTGAAAAGTCATCCCTTGATTCGCATGTTTATTGAGCCACCCTGTGTTCTGATTACGATTTTAAGTGTCATTATTGAGTCATTAAATCATTATATATTTTTATCTTTCTTTTATGCTTTATAACTTTTACCGATTATTTTTTGACTAAATAAACATTTAGAAATATATACATATATAAAAATAAAAGTATAAAAATGTAAAAAAAACTGCAATATAATCGAGAAAATGGTTCAAATAGATATTCTTTAAATTACTTCAAAATAAAAGTTCGCTATGCCGTAGTAAATATCTTTCAGTTATCATATCACTCTGTTCTAGATTCTATCAAAGTTTTAAGATATTCTCTGAAATTAAAATATTCAAAATATTTTTATTTTAAAAATTCTATGATATCTTATAACAGTGATCGGAGAGATGCCCTGGGGCGGGGAAGGGGTGGGGAGGGGCAGGGCCGGATAGGGGCAAGGGAGTTGAGAGAGCGGATTATAGATCTTAATGTTAATAGTTGATAAGGGGTAGGAGGTATTCAGATGCTGGGGTAGGGATTCAGATGTCCTGGGTAGGGATTTTCAGATGCTAGGGGTGGGGGATTTAGATACTAGGGGTGGGGGATTTCAGATGCTAGGGTTAGGGAATTCATATGCTGGGTGGGGGAATTCTAAGATTTAAATTATGATAAAAGGAATGAGGTACAACATATTTGGTGTTAATGGTTAGATTTGATAATAAGATTTTAATTGGATTACCTGTTTAACAAAATTAGGGAAACATGAATTGCCTATTTTCTATAAATTCAAACACATGGAGTCTTAATAATTAAAAAGCCTTTCTTTTGTATTTTTTTCCGTATTTTTGTCACCCTTCTCTTAACCTCTATTATTCTTTTCTCATCCTCCTTTCAACCTTCTATCCTTCCTCTCATGACCTCCTTTCAACCTTCTATCCTTCCTCTCATGACCTCCTTTCAACCTTCTATCCTTCCTCTCATGACCTCCTTTCAACCTTCTATCCTTCTTCTCATGACCTCCTTTCAACCTTCTATCCTTCTTCTCATGACCTCTTTTCAACCTTCTATCCTTCTTCTCATGACCTCCTTTCAGCCTTCTATCCTTCTTCTCATCCTCCTTTCAGCCTTCTATCCTTCTTCTCATCCTCCTTTCAACCTTCTATCCTTCTTCTCATGACCTCCTTTCAACCTTCTATCCTTCTTCTCATGACCTCCTTTCAACCTTCTATCCTTCTTCTCATGACGTCCTTTCAGCCTTCTATCCTTCTTCTCATGACCTTCTATCCTTCTTCTCATGACCTCCTTTCAGCCTTCTATCCTTCTTCTCATCCCCCTTTCACCTTCTATCCTTCTTCTCATCCTCCTTTCAACCTTCTATCCTTCTCCTCAAGACCTCCTTTCAACCTTCTATCCTTCTTCTCATGACCTCCTTTCAACCTTCTATCCTTCTCATGACCTCCTTTCAACCTTCTATCCTTCTTTCTTCTCATGACCTCCTTTCAACCTTCTATCCTTCTTCTCATGACCTCCTTTCAACCTTCTATCCTTCCATTCATGACCTCCTTTCAAACCTTCTATCCTTCTTTTCATGACCTCCTTTCAACATTTCTATCCTTCTTCTAATGACCTCCTTTCAACCTTCTATCCTTCTTTCTTCTCATGATCTTTGTTATTCTCCTATCGTCCGTTCTTATTCTCCTCTCGTTCTTTCTTGTTCTCCTATCATCCTTTTGTCGTCCTTTTAACGTCCTCCTTTTAAACTTATATTCTCCTTTTCACAACTCTCTTTCATCCTTTCTTTTTCTTCTATCGTCCTTCTGTCGTCCTTCTCTCTTAAACTTCGATCGTCCGGACGGCTTTATATTATAAAAAATGTCGGAGAAGCTGGATCGAAAATGATTGAAAGAACGGTTTACATCGTTCTCTATAGATTGATAATATTTTAACAGCTCTCTGTACCTCTACATCTATAGGTTAATACACATAGAGAATGATTATAAAATCCATCATGTCTGAACAGTTTTAAATTATCTAGAATTAATTGAATAAATGTTTCAATGTTTGGATTATTATAATCTAATAATTTAATGTTCAGAATCAGCAGATTCTTATTCAATTTGAAGAATTATACAGCAAATGAAATACACAAATATGATCATAAACAATAACAAAAACAAAAACTATATAGTCCGGGTAAACACAAGGAATGAAACTTTAATGATGATTTTAAAAACGATCATTAAAATGACGGTCTGTCGGTTTAATTTAGACTTTTATGCTTTAAAATAAAAGTTCCAGTTTACCAGGTGTTTATGAAAAAGACTGACTGAAAGATATGAAGATAAAAAAAGAGTAGAAGAACAAAATTAATAATAATGTTTTTCAGAAAAAATGTTGAAATGAGAAAATCTACCAAATCTTGTGTACAGTACAACAGTGCCGGCAGTGCCGTACTCGTACACTGTACAGTGTAGTTAGTACCATCCGCTTCATAACAAGGTGATTAATTCCAAAATGTGTACAGTTTTTTTAACAGTTTGTACAACTCTTGCCTTTTATGTACACTTTACAGTTTGTACATGTGTTTTTTACATTTTGTACAGTCTTATCATTTCCTGTACAATTTTTCCAGTTCCTACAGTATATAAAGTCTGTCATGCGTGGCCTTAATGATTTAAAACTGAAGTTGTTTTTATTCCTCTCCTGCCTCCCATAATTGTATTTATCCATGCTCATTGCTCAATGCTCAATACTATAAATCATATATTCATTTCAAGCGATATATCTCTCCCCCACATGTGGCTTATTTATTCATTAAAGATTAACCTTTTATATCCACTGAAAGAGTACAATTCATTCATAATTTTTCATTTCATTCATTAAAAATTCCATTTATTAATTTTTATCCTCTTTATCGTTTATCCATAACCTTAGCATAAACTTTTATTCCTATTTTTAATTCTATTAATCATTTTGATTATCAATCTAATCTTTGATATTTTAAGCAATAATACTTTTATTTTTTCTCCTTTCGACATAAATCTATATTATTTCAAACAAATTGATATATTTTTTTATAAATCAATATTAAAAAGTATGATCATAAATTTAGATTTTTAATCTTTCCCCTTCAGCCATAAATCTATCTATTTAAATTATTTACCCTTTGAATTTGATTCAGTTTTGAAAAAAAATTTGATTTTTTGGAACTTTTAAAATTTTTTTTAGCCTATGCTGAAACCACGAACCCAGCGTTGCACAGAGGGTCATTGTGAGTCCCCCCGCGCTCTGTCGAAAATTACGATTTTAACTCTTGTCCTCGATAAAAGTCGTTTCACCCAACTTAGAATCTTAAAACCAACCTAAGAACATTCCCGTGGCTCTCTCGAGTTCCCTCATCTAAATTTGAGGCACATTGGTCTAGGGGTTTTTAGGTGATGATAATAAAGATATTGTATAAATAAAGCCATATAATTGTTTAATTAATACAAACATATTTCATCTATTTATTCCTCATTATTTAATTCATAACACGTTTACCTAAAGTAATTGCAATTCAGATTAAAATCTAATATATGTTTTATTTAAGAGCTTTTGAAAAAACAAAACTGTTTTGAATTTTGATATTTTGCCAAATAAATTGTTTTTTTTTTCACAAAAGTTTTACCTTCTGTCTAGTTTGTGATGAATTAAGTAAGATAATTGTTTAATTAATACAATTATAATTAATTCATTTAATATTTCACTCATTCATCCGTTTTCAACTAATGTTATTTCAATTTTTTAAAAATCTTTGGACCCCCCCCCGCATAAACCTCTTTACTCCCTTTCCCTTTCCTCGATCCTCCCCCCCTCCCAACCATCAACACCTACGGTATTCCTTGAATATTGAAAGTTTGACTACGCAAGTCAAGATTATGTACGCGGATATGCGTAACTTATTGGTAAACATTGGGTTCAAATATTGGTAACATGAGCCTTTGAGTAGAGATGGGCGTCATTTTTGTGAACGAACGACATTTTTTGTGAACGAACGAATTAAATTTTTGTTTAACGGTTTAAAAACAAACGAACGAAATGGGTTGTTCATGAACAGTTGAATGAACGAAATGAAAATGCCGAACGCGTCCATCTATGAGAAACTGAAACTTTATAAACAAACAATTAATTAAGGAACTGAGCTTCGATGTCATAGTTTGCATTCCTATTCTAATCTTGTTCCTATTCTAATCTTGCTCCCATTCTTATCCTGTTCCTATTCTCATCCTGTTCCTATTATTATCCTGTTCCTATTCTTATCCTGTTCCTGTTCTTATCCTGTTCCTATTCTTATCCTGTTTCTATTCTTATCCTGTTCCTATTCTTATCCTGTAGCTATTCTTATCCTGTTCCTATTCTACTCTTGTTCCTATTCTTATCCTGTCCCTATTCTAATCTTGTTCCCATTCTTTCTAAATTAATTCTAATTGACTTCTTGAAAATTATTAGCTTGTCAAAAAATGTTTTATTCTTTATGATTTTAAGTTGAAAAAAAACACTTATAATATGGATACTCTGGATACATTTTTGATCATTAGTTACATTTATGAGTCAAAAATTAAAAACAATTAACTTAAACGTTTTCCTTTTCTGTAAATGGTAAAATGATAAATTGACATAAAAATAAGGTCCGATGAAAAGTGACATAAAGTTTTTATGTCCCTTAATAATTGTCATGTAGTTTAAAGGGGTTCCGCTGAATACTTACGTTTATTAAAGGGTTTCTTTAAAAGTGATGTATAGTGCTTGAGATTTTTGAATTTGAATAGTTCGTTAAAAATAACGTATCGTAAAGAGTCCCTTTAAGTGGTATTTTGACGAGTCTCTTGAAAATTTATGTATTGTGAAGAGTCCCTTTATAAGTGACGTTTCGTGGCGAGGCCCTGTAAAAGTGACGTATGGTAAGTATGTCTGAAGGTTAAAGATGATATTTTCAGCTTGCTCTCTTAGTGCAGCACTTAATACTTGAAGGATGCACCAATGTGATTAAAACTAAGGTGTGGTAGGATGCACCAATGTGATTAAAACTAAGGTGTGGTAGGATGCACCAATGTGATTAAAACTAAGGTGTGGTAGGATGCACCAATTTGATTAAAACTAAGGTGTGGTAGGATGCACCAATGTGATTAAAACTAAGGTGTGGTAGGATGCACCAATATGATTAAAACTAAGGTGTTTTATGAGGATTTGTATCCCTGTATTCTAGTACACCATTTATTGTATCCTTGTTCACTGGTACACCCTGTAATGTATTATATTCTGAAACACCCTGTATTGTATCTCTGTATTCTAAAACACCCTGTATTGTATCCCTGTATTCTGAAACACCCTGTATTGTATCACTGTATTATGAAACACCCTGTGTTGTATCCCTGTATTCTGAAACACCCTGTATTGTATCACTGTATTCTGAAACACCCTGTAATGTATCCCTGTATTTTGAAACACCCTGTATTGTATCCCTGTATTCTGAAACACCCTGTAATGTATCCCTGTATTCTGATATACCCTGTGATGTATCCCTGTATTCTGAAACACCCTGTAATGTATCACTGTATTTTGAAACACCCTGTATTGTATCTCTGTATTCTGAAACACCATGTATATATCAATTAACCCTTCACCCCTAGGTTATCCTTAATATCTAAACTATGGCTTGCATTGCAATTTATGCAGTGTGCATGTGTAGTAAATACTCTACTCCATAACAGTTTCTCGAACCGCATCTATCCAGGTACAACTCAGATTCTCTTAACTATCAACGCCACTAACAGTGGGCGCGATCTCTTTAACTATCGATGTCAACCGAACACTATCAATTAGTCAAATTCTGAACGAAAAATCGGCTTTTCCTTCAGCTACAGTTGTCTTTGAAAAGTAAGACTAATACCAATCAACAGCGAAAAGGCTGTTTAGTTTACCATGAAATTACCCAAATAAGTGACCGGTCCCTTTAATTGTAAATTATGCAAGAGCAATTCAAGAGAATTTAATTAAATTTGATTTGATCCGGTAAAAAAAAGAACATAGCAAATCTTCAGAGATGTTAATTCTCAAAAAATAAAAATTCCTCTTTATTTTAATGATATTAAAAACAAGGAAAATATTTAGTAAACATTATAGACGTTACATTCCTTGAAGAAAGTTTAGATTAGAATTTGGTCTTAACAGCGTAATTGCAAGTTATTTATAACGTAGTTAAGCAATCACAATATGGGTATGAGTGACAGAGTTATATATATCTACGTATATTGATTGGGTTAATCGCAATACATGATTACGTATTTACTAATTAGCTAAATGGACAATGTACAACGTTATTTACTATGGGGCCTGTGTATTTGCTACACATGCATATCAGGGGAATATATAATGTCAAATATCCTCTCCGCAATTTACTTTTGAGTTTCCGCTTAATTTTTGTTTAACATTTTTTAAATTTTAGTTTTTGCATTTGAGACAATTTTTTATTTCAAGTTTAATTATATAAATTTCTGAGAATGTGTATTTATGTAAATTAGATAATTTAGCAGAATGTTTTTTACAAAACATATTTCCCCCTGTTTATGTACGAAACGTATAATTATGATCTATTTATCTATATGTTGTATCTACACCTCTTGATGATGATTACTGGATATATGATTGATTATGTAATAGATTATTTAAATAATTGCAATAATGATTGCGAAGCATGCACAATAGAAATCAGAAAACAATCGTCTTTGAATATTATTAAACTGCGCAAAGCATATTCTTAAAGAACTATTTCTTAAAAAGTACTTTGAACATTTTTAAAGATATACCAGTTACAACAATTACAATACGTTTTTAAAAAGCAACAAAAAAACGGCATTATTTTCTCAATATTCCTGATTCTCACTGAATATATTGTCTAATTTACGTAGAATTACTGGAAAGGAATTATCAGAATTAACTGCAAGCAAATCACCTAATTGCGGAGGAACCAAAATTAAAAATAATCCGTTTTCAAAATTGTAAACCTTGATATCTAAATCATTCTTGACCTAAAAAAGCGTTTAAGGGTTAATTTGTGAATTTGACATTGCCATATTTGCAGGAAGAAAAAACACAATATCTTCCTCATTATTGATCATGATAGTTAAAGATTTTAACCAAGGGTACCATAGTGAATCAAGGGTACCTTAGTGAATCGAGGGTACCATAGTGAATCGAGGGTACCATAGTGAATCGAGGGTACCATAGTGAATCGAGGGTACCATAGTGAATCGAGGGTACCATAGTGAATCGAGGGTACCATAGTGAATCGAGGGTACCATAGTGAATCGAGGGTACCATAGTGAATCGAGGGTACCATAGTGAATCGAGGGTACCATAGTGAATCGAGGGTACCATAGTGAATCGAGGGTACCATAGTGAATCGAGGGTACCATAGTGAATCGAGGGTACCATAGTGAATCGAGGGTACCATAGTGAAT